TCCACACACTCAACCACAGCCCTTCCCTCCACACTCAACCACAGCCCTCCACACACCAACCACAGCCCCTCCACACTCAACTCACAGCCACTCCACACTCCATGTCCCCTCCACACCAACCACAGCCCCCTCCTCCATACCAACCACATCCCCTCCCTCCACACCAACCACAGCCCCTCCCCTCCACACCCACACAACCACAGTCTCCCCCCTCCACACTCCAACCACAGCCCCTCCTCCACACCAACCACAGCCCCTCCTCCACACCAGCCACAGTCCCCTCCCTCCACACCAACCACAGTTCCCTCCCCCACACTCAACCACAGTCCCCTCCCTGCACACCCACCCACAGTCTCATCCCCTCCACACTAAACACAGTCCCTCCTCCACACTCAACCAGTCCCTCCCTCCACACTCAACCACAGTCCCCCTCCTGACACTCAACCACAGTCTCCCCTCCTCCACACTTCCAAACACAGCCCCTCCCTCCACACTAACCACAGTTCCTCCTTCCACACCAACCACAGCCCCCTTCCCTCCACACTCCAACCACAGTCCCTCCCTCTCCACACCAACTCACAGTCCCTTCCCTCCACACCTAACCACAGTCTCCCTCCCTCCACACTAACCACAGTTCCCTCCCTCCACAACCACAACCCCCCTCCCCACACACCACAGTCCCTTCCACACTAACCACAGCCCCTCCTCCACACCAACCACAGCCCTCCTCCACACTAACCACAGCCCCTCTCCACACCCAACCACAGTCCCCTCCCTCTCCACACTCAACCACAGTCCCCCTCCCTCCACACTCAACCAGTTCTCCCTCCAAACTACACAGCCCTCCCCCCACACCAACCACAGTCCCCTCCCTCCACACCAACCACAGCCCCTTCATCCACACTCAACCACAGTCCCTCCCTCTCCACACCAACCACAGCCCCTCCACACTAACCACAGTCCCTCCTCCACACTCCAACCACAGCCCCCCCCTGCCCACACACCAAACACAGTCCCTCTCCTCCACACCAACCACAGTCCCCTCCCTCCACACCAACCACAGCCCCTCTCATCCACACTCAACCACAGTCCCCTCCTCCACACTCCAACAACAGTCCCCCTCCCTCCACACCAACCACAGTCCCCCCCTCCCCTCCACACCAACCACAGTCCTCCTCTCCACACCAACCACAGCCCCTTCCCACACCAACCACAGTCCCCTCCATCCACACCAACCACAGTCCCCTCCCTTCACACTAACCACAGTCCCCTCCCTCCACACTTCCAACCACAGTCCCCTCCCTCCACACTAACCACAGCCCTCCTTCCACACTAACACAGCCCCCTCCCTCCACACTAACCACAGCCCCCTCCCCCTCCACACTTCCATCCACAGCCCTCCTTCCCACACCAACCACAGCCCCTCCCCCTCCACACTCCAACCACAGCCCCCTCCCCTCCACTCAACCCACAGTTCCTCCCTCCACACTCAACCACAGCCCCTCCCCCTCCACACCAACCACAGTTCCCCTCCACACCAACCACAGCCCCCTCCCCTCCACACCAACCACAGCCCCCTCATCCACACAACCACAGTCCCTCCCTCCACACTAACCACAGCCCCTCCCTCCACACTCAACCACAGTCCCCCTCCCTGCACACTACCCACAGTCCCCTCCCTCCACACCAAACACAGTCCCTCCCTCCACACACCAACCACAGTCCCTCCACACTAACCACATAGTCCCTCCCTTGCACACTACCCCACAGTCCCCTCCCTCCATACTCCAAACACAGCCCCTCCCTCCACACTCAACCACAGTTCCTCCCCACACACCACATCCACAGTCCCTCCTTCCACACCAACCACAGTCCCCTCCCTCCACACTATCCACAGCTCCTCCCTCCACACTAACCACAGCCCTCCCTCCACACTAACCACAGTCCCTCCCTCTACACTAACACAGTCCCCCCCTCCACACTAACACAGTCCCTCCTCCACCAACCACAGTCCCCTCCCTCCACACCAACCACAGCCCCTTCATCCACACTCAACCACAGTCCCCTCCCTCCACACCAACCACAGCCCTCTCCACACTAACCACAGTTCTTCCATCCACACTAACCACAGTCCTCTCTCTCCACACTAACCACAGTTCCCCTCCACCACCAACCACAGCCCCCTCTCTCCACACTCACCACAGTCCCCTCCCCTCCACACTCAACCACAGTCCCCTCCCTCCACACTAACCACAGCCCCTTCCATCCACACTAACCACAGTCCCCTCCCTCCACACTAACCAACAGTCCTCCTCCACACTCCATCCACAGTCCCTCCCTCCACACCAACCACAGCCCCTTCATCCACACTAACCACAGTTCCTCCATCCACACTAACCACAGCCCCTCCTCCACACCATCCACAGCCCCCTCCTTCCACACTAACCACAGTCCCTCTCCACACTCCAACCACAGTCCTCTCCCTCCACACTAACAACAGTCCCTCCCTCCACACCAACCACAGCCCCTCCATCCCACACCAACCACAGTTCCCTCCCATCCACACCAACCACAGTCCCCCTCCCTCCACACCACAGCCCCCCTCACACACCAACCACAGTTCCTCCATCCACACCAACCACAGTCCCTTCCTCCACACCCCAACCACAGCCCCCCCATCCACACACACTCAACCACAGTCCCCCTCTCTCCACACCAACATCCCCCTCCACACTATCCAGCCCCCCCTCCCCTCCACACCAACCACAGCCCCATCCACACACTCCAACCACAGTCCCTCCTCCACACCAACCACAGCCCTCCTCCACACCATCCACAGCCCCTCCCTCCACACCAACCCACAGTCCCCTCCCTCCACACTAACCACAGTCCCTCCTCCCACACTAACAACAGTCCCTCCCCTCCACACTAACCACAGCCCCCTAGCTCCACACACAACCACAGTTCCCCTCCATCCACACCAACCACAGTCCCCTCCTCCACACTAACCACAGCCTTCATCCACACTCAACCACAGTCCCCCCACACCACAGCCCCCCAGCTCCACACCAACCACAGTTCCTCCTCCACACCAACCACAGCCCCCCTCCACACTAACCACAGTCCCTCCCTCAACCACAGCCCCCTAGCTACACACAACCACAGTTCCTCTCCATCCACACTCAACCACAGTCCCCTTCCTCCACACCAACCACAGCCCCCTTCATCCACACTCACCACACAGTCCCCTCTTCCACACCAACAACAGTCCCCCTCCTCCACACTATCCACAGCCCCTCCCTCCACACCAACCACAGCCCCCTTCATCCACACTCAACCACAGTCCCTCCCCCTCCACACCAACCACAGCCCCCTCCCTCCACACTCATCCACAGCCCCCTCCTCCACACTAACCACAGTCCCCTCCCTCCACACAACCACAGTCCCCTCCCTCCACACTCAACAACAGTCCCTCCCTCCACACTAACCCACAGCCCCTAGCTCCACACTAACCACAGTTCCTCTCCATCCACACCCACCACAGTCCCCTCCCTCCACACCAACCACACTTTCATCCACACTAACCACAGTCCCTCCCTCCACACCAACCACAGCCCCAGCTCCACACCAACCACAGTTCCTCCATCCACCAACCAGCCCCCCTCCACACTGAAACACAGTTCCTCCCTCCACAGTAACCACAGTCCCCTCCCTCCACACCAACCACAGCCCCTTCATCCACACTAACCACAGTCCCCTCCTCCACACTCAACCACAGTCCCTCCTCCACATCAACCACAGTCCCCTCCCTCCACACCAACCACAGTCCCTCCCTCCACACCAACCACAGCCCCCTAGCTCCACACTCAACCACAGTCCCCTCCATCCACACTAACCACAGTCCCTCCCTTCACACTCAACCACAGTCCCTCCCTCCACACTAACCACAGTCCCTCCTCCACACCTAACCACAGCCCTTTCCTCCACACTCAACCACAGCCCTCCCCACACTCAACCACAGCCCCTCCACACCAACCACAGCCATCTCCACACTAACCACAGCCCCTCCCCTCCACACCAACCACAGCCCCTCCCTCCATACTAACCACATCCATCCTCTCTCCACACCAACCACAGCCCCTCCCTCCACACCAACCACAGTTCCTCCCTCCACACTCAACCACAGCCCCTCCTCCACACTAACCACAGCCCCTCCTCCACATTAGCCACAGTCCCTCCTCCACACCAACCACAGTTCCCTCCCCCACACCAACCACAGTCCCCTCCTGCACACCCACCCACAGTCTCATCCCTCCACACTGAACACAGTCCCTCCCTCCACACTCAACCACAGTCCCTCCCTCCACACTCAACCACAGTCCCCTTCCCTGCACACTCACCCACAGTTCCCTCCTCCCACACTTCAAACACAGCCCCTCCTCCACACTAACCACAGTTCCTCCTCCCACAACCACAGCCCCCTTCCTCCACACTAACCACAGCCCCTCCTCCACACTAACCACAGTCCCCTTCCCTCCACACCCAACCACAGTCCCCCCTCCCTCCACACCAACCACAGTCCCCTCCCTCCACACCAACCACAGCCCCCTCCCTCCACACTCAACCACAGTTCCCTCCCTCCAAACCAACCACAGCCCCTCCCACACACTCAACCAGTCCCTCCACACCAACCACAGCCCCCTCCACACACCAACCACAGTTCCCCCCTCCAAACCACACCACAGCCCCTCCCCACACACTCAAAGCCCCCTCTCCACACCAACACAGCCCTGTCCCTCCACACTAACCACAGTCCTCCCTCCACACTAACCACAGTCCCCTCCTCCACACTAACCACAGTCCCCTCCCTCCACACTAACCACAGCCCCTCCCTCCACACTAACCACAGTCCCCTCCCTCCACACTTACCACAGTCCCCTCCCTCCACACTAACCACAGTTCCCTCCCTCCCTATCACAGGTAGCATTGGGGAAGGTAAAATGAGGTAACTGATTGTCAAAGTCACTTGTAGGTTTTCTACATACATTTAAGATTACATAAGAAGACATCACGCCGAGAGAACCCCATGAGGACAAGAGTAGAGTTCCTTTCTCTCAGCCCCCGTGACCTGTCTGCCGGCCACACACATCTGTCGGTGGCAGCGATACAGATCCACTATATCTACACTAGCACCCTGACAGTTAAACTCCTCAGTCCCCAATCATTAACACAATAACAAGTTAAACAAAGTTGAGTAGCGTTATTCATTTCTTGAACCTTAAACATCATGAACCTAAATGGAATGTGACACTCAAATGCTAATCACAGCTCTCTCTCTCTCTCTCTCTCTCCTTCACGACAGGTGGGTACGGGCTGGAACAATGTAAGGAGCGAGTACGTGGCCCCTACCTCAGGCATCTACTTTTTCACCTTCTCTGCCGTGTCTGACAGAAACACACACTTCAGGTAGGTGGTGGGGGTCTATCCTGGTTTCATACTCAATGATGTATGCTATTACTCTACCTCGTAAGTGAAGATAATGTACAGTCACTCAAAAAACTATATTTACTTTGGGAGGGTCGATGTCTCGGTACGGTTGTCAAAATCCTTCATCCGTTGTGTCATATTATCTCAACACAGTTTTCTAAAGATTGTTTTTTTGAGTGACTTTACAGATACACCTGATTGGTTTTAACCCAAAGTACACAAGATAATGTGTAAATATGCAGTTTAAAATACCCTGAGACTAAATTAACGAGATACTTTCACTTAACAGGAGAAAAAATTAAGGTAGAGAATGTTTTGCAAATGATTATTCAACTAAATTTTGTAACCTAACTGGTACTATATAAGAGTATGATCGTAAGACATTCTCGAATAGTAATTTTAACTCCTTTTTAGATTTTTTTTTTTATATACTTTAGCTTAAACCAATTAGACTTGTTCATACATCTTCTGTTGCGAGGAATACCCATCTTAAGAGCCTTTGAGATCCTGGACCCTCACATACAGTACATAATGCCTCAACATCTTGGTCTACTTGTGGCACCTTATGCTGGTGATCGCTCAAAATCTGCTGCTGTATTTTATTTTTGCAATTTTGGTTTTATTTCTGATGTTTTGTTCCATTTGTCATTGGATGATACATTTGTCGGCTACCGCAGTCTAGGCCCTAGGACACATGTATTTTGGTGACCTCATTACTAAAGCTCAAAGGTCAGGACGATACTGTAATAAACAGTTAGTGAAATGTGGATGGTGGTGACTTTAGATTTATGTGTTCAACGCCATACCGCGCCCTTACGCTTTATGTACTTCCCTTTGGTTCTTTTCTTGTCGTTTTTTACAGGAGACTTTGGCTGTTGGCACTACGAGTATGTCAGATTCATGTTTATCATTAAGATTATAGCTCCTCAAAGTTCGGCCTTATACGACAACACACACAAACGACTCTCAAGTAAAAAAAAAATCCCCCGTTTCACAGAGTCAGTCTACGTCACAACGGACAGGACGTAGTGACGGCCTTCGGTGACGTCGGCGGCTACCAGATGGGAAGTCAGAGTGCAGTACTGCGCCTCAACTCCGGAGACCACGTCCTCCTCCAACTCCAGGAAGGTCGACTCTACGATGTCACCTCCTCCAGGGCCTATACCACCTTCTCTGGCTTCAAGATAGCTTAGTTTGTCATCTTCACCTCAAGATCCTTTACAGTACTTGTCATCTTAACTCTGAGCTTCAAGACCTTCGACACACCTCATACTTAACTCCAAAGCTTCAAGACTCATATAATTTTTGTTACCGTATGAACTGTGCAGGTGTGTTGGTAGATGTGTAAACTGTCCGAGTGTGTTGGTAGATGTGTAAGCTGCTTAAATGTGCACATCGTTGAGGAACTTTTTTGAATTGTGTGCTCATCCTTGGAGTCGTAAAAAATTTTTTAGTGTGCACCTTCTTGGAAAATTTTATAAATTACCCAGTGTGCACATCTTTGGAAATTATGTGCACACCCTTAGAGTGGTTGCGAATTATGCATTGTACACAGTACTCGAAGCTGTATTAATTAGGCAGCTTGTAATCTCCCGCAAGGAAAAAAATCTAAATGTTTTCAATTTGGAACATGTACATCGCCTTCATGAACAGTAAATATAGCTATAAGTGTCTAAACACTAGTTTACGAGTCAGTTTATGACGTCAGTTTTGTATTATTTAATCTACTTTTATACTTTGTCCAATATATTGTATGTTGTGATTGATGCAATATCTGAAGCAACATTTGCAATCACAGACAAATATATGAGTCATTTAAAGAATCAATTAAATTATTTGTTTCCTGTATTTATTTACAATATATTTAGCCTTTTCTGGTGTTTAGTGTATTCGTTCTACCACAGTTATTGATCACACAGATGAGTTTTAAAATACCATCAATTGTATCGATCGGCTTTGATATCCAATTTGCATACAGCACTCAGAGGCTGCACACATCACGTGGGTAAGAATGTGGGAAGTGGTGATTACTGTACTGCCACAAGGGATTGTTTTAGTTCCCTGATGATATATCTCCTGGCCTGGACATTAACTGCAGTACGTTGACTTATTTATATAGATATACACATTAGCTGCTTCAATGCCTTGTTTTGTAAAGGTTTGAAAGTTGGAATAAAAGTAAGTTTCAACCGTCTGCCTGAGTACTTAAACAACAGCAACGATTTGATAAAAAAAAATAAGAAACAGAAGTACGCTACTGTAAATAACCAGTTGTGATAGTTTATGAAAATAATGATGTCATCAAGACTAAACACTATAATAATTATCAAATTGTCATCAAGAGATAAACTGGATGACATCACCGAGGACAAAAAGGATGACGTCATCCTAAACCAACAGCAGGAAGTAGGTGATAAAACTGATAACAAGGAGTGGAAGAAAGTCCTCCATCCAGACATCTGGTCATTACTGTGTAGCCGGAGTTAAACTGATTATTTTGGTAATGGTAGAAAGATGAATCCCACAAAAAAAATTACTTCTCACAGTTTTGAGGAAACATTCGCCACTGTGGAAAAGATACGTAGTCAACTGACTTACATAAGAGAATACACTGGCCGAGGTCTGTGTCTAGCTAGATCGATTTAAGAGCTGTAGACGCCCAAAAACAGCCCCTAACTTCACAAGTGTATGCAAACTGGTGACACCATCGCATTTCACACAACTTTACGCAATGTCAGTTATATCCTGCAGGCTCACCCAAAACAGTTCGCGAAGAGTATTTTTTTTTTTTTTTTTTATACGAGGAATAGCCTTCCCGGGCACAGGTCATCGACCCAAAACAGGGCCTAGGGGGGCTATAAAATAAGAGTAAAAAGATATTAAAAATAGAAAAGAAAAATATATTAATCTACATCACGAAGATGCCGGAAAACCAGCTTTTTGAAGTGAGACAGATTGTATGAGTGTGGAAACACAGAAAAAGGCAGAGCATTCCACAGGATGTACTATCACGGGTTATTCTAGTGTGACCAACATCCACAGAGAAACGGTGGGCACCGCGGGCAAGACGTGTGTTACGAGGCCACGGCCTTGCCAGCGGTACACAGGTTGCCAAATCCACCGAACATTGCCCGTTAAAGTACCTGTAAAAGAGAGAGAGTGAAGCAATATTTCGGCGAAGAGAAAGGGAAGAAAGATTATCAACTAAAGGAGGAGAGTTAATAAGACGAAATGCCTTTGATTCCACCCTATCTAACAGTTGGACTAGAGATAGCCACCCCAGATATGACAGCAGTACTCCAAGTTAGGACGAATGAATCCCTTATATACTTGAAACAACTGCTCAGGAGTGAAGTAGCTACGGTATCTATACAGAATTCCCAGCTTTCGGGAGGCAGCTTTAGCAATGTTGAGGATGTGTGGCTTCCATGACATATTAGAAGAAATGGTGACGCCGAGCATATCTGTTTAGAATTTGGCAGAATGATTGCGTCCTAAAATGTGATTGATGGGAGATCGTCTTATTTGGAAAGTGTAATTGGTAAATACTGAGTTTTATTACTATTGAATTTAACCAAGTTTCTACCTCCCCATTCGGAGATGCTGCACAGATCCGCATTGATAGATGTAATGATGTCAGCTCTAGAAACAGATCGAGTTTGAGAATTAGGGGGAAGGGGAAATGTGAAGAAGAGTGAAGAGGAGAATCATCACCGTAAGAATGGATGGAATTAGTCGTAGTGTGAAGTAAATCATTGATGAAAAGAAGGAAGAGAGTAGATGAAAGAACAGAACCCTGTGGGACACCACTTTTGGTAGAGAACGAGCGAGAGATCGATCCCTCGACAACAACGGCCATGGATCGGTTCTCAAGGAAGCTAAAAATTAGAGATCAAAGTGGGGGAGAGAAACGATAAGAGGGAAGTTTAGAAAGCAAAGATTTGTACCATACCCAGTCAAATGCTTTGGAGATGTCGAGGGCCACGACGAAAGTTTCCCCATAATCCCTAAGAGAGGATGACCAAAGATGGGTGCAGTAGGAAAGCAGATCCCCAGCAGATCTCGCCTGGCGAAAGCCATACTGGTGATCCGACAAAAGAGAATGGCGTTCAAGGTGACGGAGAAAATGAGAGTTTAATATAGTTTCGAAAATCGTAGAGAGGGATGAAGATAGGACAATGGGATTACAGGGATTAGAATGGTCACCCTTCTTCAGGATGGGCTGAACCGAGGCATGCTTCCAAGAAGGAAAAGTTTGGGTTTTGAGGCAAAGGCAAAAGAGGCGAGCAAGCACAGGGGCCAGAACTTCAGAACACGAGGGGGTATTCCGTCCGGTCCATGTGCCTTACTCACATCCAACCTAGATAACACCAGCAACCCTACGAGTGGAGATTATAGGAAAGTACATAGGTTCAGTAAGAGGAACAGGAGTAGAGTTGGAATCGTCTAAGGTGGAGTTAGAGAATAAGGTGCCTCAACGAAACGTATTATCTACTCATATCACCACACACACATACACACACACTGCTACTTTGCTGTCACTCGGAACCGAGTATGACGATCATCCAGCTATGAGACAATGATATGAGTTATTAGGGATTTCACCTAGGTTGGTGAGTTTTGAGGTGACTAGAGAGGCCGATGCGAGACCAGCAGGGTCGTCCACAGATGTTGCACTTGTGGAGGGCTACATCTAGTGCAAGAGGGGCGGCGGCAGCGTCTTTCCAACGTTGGCGCTTGTCTGCCTCAGTATGCAGTCGAGCTAACTCGAAAGTATTGATACCTTCTTGTGTGGTGCTTCTCCAAGCGTTACGGTGTGGAGTAATCGTTTCCCAGGTGAGGGGGGGTCGATTTGGCACTTTTTCAGGTTTGTCTTAAAACTATCCTAATACCTTTCCAGTTGCCCACCAGTGTTATGTTTACTATTTGTAAGGTGACTGTAAAGTAGCTGCTTTGGCAGTCTACTGTCGTTCATGCGGGGTAACATTTGGACAACATAAAATATCAACGTAGGTATAAATATAATGTACAGTAACAGTATAACTAAGAAATACCTATATATTTAGTCTTCAGTCGACGCAGAAGAACTGTAGCCGTCAGCTGGATTAGATTAGCGCCCATCTGGGAAGCATGCATAGTTCATGCTTGCCTTTATGACTCACGCATTAAGGGCGTAAAAGCCTGAAGGGTCGTGGGTTTTGTCAGCAAGTTACATAAAGTGACAGAATGATGAGTGTGTGGGGGAAATTCCCTGTACAATTTATCTGTTTATGGCAAAGTGTCCCTCACACAGTCACAGCTGATGCCAAGGTCTCAGGTCAGTGGGTCAATGTCCTTCATGTTGATAGCAGATCAGATGGCGTCTCCATTGCGTATCAACTGATTGAAGCTTCAAAATGGCGACGGTTGAGTCCACTTCGACGACGGGGACTCCACTAGCTGTCAAGATGTTGAGTCATCACTGGCGAATCGCTGGGTTTACTGGGAACGTCTACCACGGATGAGAGTCAGTTTGCTTCTGTGTGATACAGACTTTTGGTTGCCCTGTATATAAAGAACTTGTTGGTTACACACGGGAAGTACACAGTCTCCAGTCACTAACAGCCAAAACACTCAGTTTAAACAACTTATGATGTCTAAATGGTATAAGGTCTGAGTGTTGCATCACCTTGAAACATGCAAGTATATGTTAAGAACCAATGGGGCTGTCAGTTGGGGTATGTTTACTTCCGCTTACAGGATGTTGAATGCTGATGCAGGGTTCTCAACCAGGGGAATTTCAGTTTCAGGGGAAACTTATTCGGGAGCAAGAGATATGTTCGATGAGAAATCAATCACAGAATTTTGGCCCTTGATGTGCGATTCCTACCCAAAAGTGGCAGAAAGTGCTATCTGTGCAATGCTTCCGTTTGTGTCGACATATCTTTGTGAGTCAGGCTTTTCAACTCTGTTGCAAATTAAAACGAAGCAACGTAGTAGATTAGAGGTAGAAAATGACCTGCGTTGTGCCCTTTCAAGCACTCCTCCGCGTATCCCAGAATTGGCGAAGAAAAAACAATCACAGGTTTCTCATTGACTGTAATCTTCATCTGAATAAAATTAATTACAAATATACAATATCCTGGTATTCTATTGAACTTTTTGTTTATTGCATGCATTATGCTTCAGTTTGGTCTGTTAAGTAATTCATTATAAATATAAAAAAACTATTTTACTTTTATTCAAGTTTTATAAATCCATCAACATTTTCAATTGACATTTAATTTGTAAAACTCCACTATAAAAATAATCCATGTAAAATTGTAAATGTATATGTACTAATATGGAAAAATAAAGGATTTTCAGTATTATATGCATATTATTTGGAATGCACTTTTTGAGGCAGACAATCTTGGAAAGGAGGGGGGAATGACATTCTGACATATGGTGAAAGGGGTGCATGGGGCAAACAAGGTTGAGAACCACTGATCTAGTATCACGGTATACCGGCTCCCATCAAACTGGATTCCATACTTAAACCTACACAAGAAATCTGACCCAATAAGAACATCCCCTGGGAAAAGATCACCGCTTACCACAACCAGCGCGTGAACAACTATCTTATCTCCTAAGTCTACAGTTATATCTCTGGAATCCAATGTTGAGAGGCGGTTCCCCGTGACGCCACGTAACTCAGGAACTATATACTTTCCCCCTAGGCTCATCTTGGAGGCCAGGTTCTGTTTCACTAAGGACACCGAGGAGCCTGTGTCAATGAAAGCTTCAACCCGTTTCCCTCCTGTTCGTGTTCTGGGTAATAAGTTCAATATACAGGAGCGAACACA